GAAAAGGAAGGGCTTTGGGGGCGTGGGCAGGACTTTGCATGCCCCCAAGTCAGCAGGAATTTGGGGCAGATTGGTGTGGTAGCGTTGTCCCTGTCTGCTCAGGGACACTGCTCCAGGGTGTGGCAGGAAAGGATGCTGGGAGAGCAAGCAAGAGCTCGCTTTAGTGACCAGGTGGGGGAGGAAAGTAGATTGGTAACTAGTACAGTGTCCACTGGAGAGATGTGGCAGGACCGAGTGGTCGTCAGGGGCAGAGCTGGCTACCAGCGCCTCTCATGGAGCCTGGCTATGGACAAGGAGCAGCTGGTTTGGGCACAGGGCCGGGTGGTGGGCAGAGGCAGACTTCCATTCTGCGGACTTGAATGTGAGTGTTTCTTCAGCTCTTCTGGAAGTGTTGAGTAGGCAGTTGGGGACACGGAATTTAAGTTCAGGATATATACACATGAAAGCTGGTTTGGGAGTAACTGGCACAGAGATGACGGTGGCAAGTCACCCAGTGAGAGTGGGCAGAGTGAGGGCTCAGAGCACAAACCTGAGAGACAGCAGATGTTAGAGAAGAGAGGAAGAGGATCGTGCAAAGGGAACAAAGAAGGGCTGGTGGAGGGACAAAGGAGACGCTGCTCAGAGTAGGCCGTGGTCAGCAGAGGCCAAGTGCCAAGCACTGAAGGCTGTGTGATGGCCTTGTTCTTCAGGAGGCAGCCAGTGACACAGCAGGAGCAGTCTTATAGACGGAGGCATTGGCCAGCTGGCAGCGGACTCAGAGGGTGACAAGGAAGAGGGGAGACGGGGTGACCAGTGTAGAACCATTCCAGGCTGTGCCTGGCCTGACCGGGAAGGCCTTTCCTATGCCCAGGAAATAGGAGGCTCACATGTGCCGAGTCTGTGCCAGAGACCAGAGGGCATTTTTGTGTGCTGGCTTTTATTTCCTCCGTGCAATCGAAGGTGACACTGTCTGCCGAGGGTGATGGACTGCGGGGAGCTCAGTGGTTTGAGGAGGAGCAGGGAGGTCTGAAGCAATGGAGAATGAGGGGAGTGACAGGCTGCAGGGTGTGGTGGAGGGGACCCTCAGGTCTGTACTTCTGGTCTCCGAGGTCACTGGCTTCCACCAGCAATATCAGCCCTGGAGCAGGACGGGCAGGGGGTGCGAGGAGCAGTGGGGTTAGTCCTGGGCGGAGGCCTCTCCAAGCAGGGTGATGCAGGATGCGAGGGCAGGGGAGTACAGATTCTGTAAGAAGGGCTGGAATAATGTAGCTGGGATATGGCTTTGGTGGTGAGGGAATGTATTTGTTTTCTATCACTGCACACAACTTACCTCCAACTGAGCGCTGAAAACAAAATGCATTCATTGCCTCAGCTTTGGTAGGTCAAAATTCTGAGTATGGCTTAGCTGGGTCCCTTCCTCAGGGTCTTGCAAGGCTGCAGTCAAGCTGTCGGTAGAGCCTGTGGTCTTGCCTGGAGTTCGGGACCCTCTTCTGAGCTCATTCAGCTTATTGGCAGAATTCGGTTCCTTGTCATTCTGTGACTGAAGTCCCTGGGTTTTGCTGGCTGCTGGCACCTCTAGGAGATCTCTCTGCACAGGTCTCTGCTTTCTTCCTCTGAGGCCAGCCAGAAAGAAAACCTCTGCTCTTAGAGAGCTCACCTGATTAGGTCAGGCCCACCATGATAATCTTTCTTTTAACTCACATTGGGACCTTGATCACATCTGTAAAATTCCTTTTATCATATGGTGTAGCATAATCATAGGGCTTCCATGCCATCATATTCACAGGTCCCACCCACCATCAATGGGAGGGGACTATACTGGAGGAGGGTCACAGGTAAAGTTACCTATGTGCAGTGCAAAAGAAGGCCAGATCTACACCTAGAGTTCTGACCTCTCATTTCCCTATGTTATGGTCTGAATTGCACCCCCAGATTCATCTGCTGAAGCCTAACTCCCAGTGTGACTGTATTTGAAAGCAGGGCCTCTAAGGAGGTAATTAGGTTAAATGAGGTCATAAATGTGGCCCCGATCTGATGGGACTGGTGTCCTTATAAGAGGAGGGAGAGACACCAGGGGCCTCTCTCTCCACTCGCACAGAGGAAGCACCTTGCGGGGACATAGTGAGAAGGTGCTGTCTGCAAGCCAGGAAGGGAGGCCTCACCAGAAGCCAGCCCTGGCACCTTGATTCTGGGCTCCAGCCTCCAGACTGTGAGAAAACAAATGCCTGCTGTGTAAGTGGTTGGTGCGTTGTGTCCCATGGCAGCCTGAGCAGTTACACAGACTCCACACATGCCAGGCCCACAGCCCCAGTAAGAACTCTGCTGCACTCCTCATGCTATAACAGCTGAGCAGACTCTTGATTCCTACTTCAAACCTGTTTCTCACCTACTTTTCTGCTTTCCAGTAAGTGCTATCATCAGCCAACTCATGTCTCACCAAAATTCCAAGCTTCACCCTTGATTCTCCTCTTTCCTCCTACTGTATAGTAAACCATTAGCAAATCTGGTGGCCTCTGTCATCAATACATCCTGATCCAATCCATTGTCATTACACAAAGTCCAAAGGTACGACTCTAAATCAATGTTCTCTAAGTTACTACAACACCTTCCTAATGGTTTTCCTGACTTACTTTATGGCCACCTAAACAGCAACAAAATGATTTTTTAAAAATTATTTTCAGGTGTACAAAACAATGTAATAGTTAGACATTTACACCCTTCACAAAGTGATAACCCCCCTCCCCCAATCTACTACCCCTCTGACTTCATATATAGCTGTTACAATTCCATTGACTCTATTCCCTATGCTGTACTCCACATCCTGTGACAAAGTGAAATTTTTTTTTTTTAAGATTTTATAGGGGAATCGGGGGAAGTAGAACAGACAGGTTGCTGTTGTTTTTTGTTCTTCAGTCTAGTTGTGGACGATGTTGTTTCACTGGCCCATGTTGGTATTATCATTGTGCTCTTCCCGGGTGAGGCAGATCAGTCATCGGCCTCTGGACAGCCGCTCAGGGCAGCTCTTGGCAGTTCACACCGGCTGCCAGCTGCTCACACTGGCTGCCAGCCACACGCGAGCCACACTGCAACCCACTGCAGCAGGGGCTGCAGCCTACGCCATCGCTGGTGACTCATGGCAGCCCAGCTCCAGGTTGAGCTGTTGTTCACCATCTTACCTGTAGAGGGCAGTGTCACTGGCCCCCATGTGGGATCCGAACTGGGGCCCTGCTGCTCAGAGCTGGCATCCCAAGCCAGCTCTTAACCAATGCGCCACTCGGCCAGCCCAACAAAGTGATTTTAAATAGGACATCTAATGAGGTCACTGTGCTTAGCAAAGTCCCTAATAGGTTCCTACTCCACAGAGAATACATACAGGATCCCTGGACCCTCTGCCCCTCTCCCCCTCATCTGGGATGCTCCCTGGACCCACAAGCTCCATTCTGTTCCTCAATACAGCAGGATCTCATTCCAGCCTCAAGGCATCTGTTCTTTCTGTTCCCTATACATAGAATGCTGTTCCTCTATAACTCTGCAAGACCTCCTCATTCTTACTAAGCAAAATGCAGCTCCTCAGAGAGGCCTCCCTTCACCATGCCACCTCACGGACATGCCACATCCCCAGGTTCCTTCATCACTCATCCTATGGCAGGAAGAATGATTGCCTCCAAAGATGTCCATCTCTTAATTCTGGACTCCTTAATGTGTTGTACATTAATGCAAAGGGTAATTTAGGTAGCAGATGGAATCAGGTTGCTAATTAGCTGACCTTAAAATAGATCATTCTGGATTACCCGGGTGGGCCCAATGTAATCACAAGGGCCCAATCACAAATAAAAGTGGAAGAGGAAGGCAGGAGGGTCAGCATCAGAGGAAGGGGATGTGAGAAAGACTCCACCTGCCATTGCTGGCTATACAGAAGGAGGAAGGGGCCATAAGCCGATGACTGCAATGCAGTGGCCCCTATAGCTGGAAAAGCAAGAAAAGGAATTGCTCCCTGGAGCCTCCAGGAAGGACACCTTGATTTCAGCCTAGTGAGACCCATTTCGGACTTCTGACCTCCAGAACTATGAGATGATAAATTCGTGTTGTTTAAAACACCAAGCTTGCAATAATTTGTTACAGCAGCAATAGGGAATAATGCACACCTCACTTGGGTTACGACAGCACTTATCACTATCAAATGATCTTGCTTATTCACCTACATGGCATCTCCTGCTCTAGAACGAAAATCTGTGAGGACGAGGACTGTGATTGTCTTGCTCACTGCAGTGTCTCCAGGGCCTTGAGCAGCAATGAACAAAAGGGTACACTAAATAAAGATCTCTTGGAAAAGTAAAAAAAAAGAAGCTAACAGGAATTTGAGGGATTGGGGACAGGTATTCTGTGTGTTTGATAGCAAGTACAACAGAGCAATGGTGAGAATTAGGTGAAAAGTGAGTACGAAATGCAAAACGAGAGTGGTCTCAGCTACACACAGCTTCTCTCTGCTGGAGAAGCAGGGATGTGGGCAGTCCAGGCTGACCCACTGCCCCAGGAAACCCTCAGGTGTCGCCTTACAGCCGATTCTTAGATCACCCCCTCTGCATTAGCCTCTGACCCATTAGTCGAGAGAGTGTCTCGGAAAACTGAGGCCGGATGGAATGATATCTGTAAAGCTCTCTCGGGGGGCGTCTCGGTCTGACTGGGACCTGATGGAATGATATCAGCTGTCTCCCCTGGGAGGACATGTAATTATGTCTTGGGGCAATGTGGTGGAGTACGAAGGCATA